AATGCCATACAGTTGGGAGAGAGGGGCACTCAGACGATGGACTTGCCTCCTGCATCCCAGCGAGGAACACAAGGGCACCCATGAGGGACACGAAGGTTGAGCGCTGCCTGGACTAGCATGATGGAGCCCTTGTTCTCCCACTTGAGAGGAGACCAAGGGGAGCAAGGTGGCTGACCTCTCCAGCATCCCGCACCCCAGAAACTACCAGGCCTTTGCTTTCTGGGAGTGGAACCTGCCCAGGTCCTGTGTAAATGCCTCTCAAATCAAGGTCTTCTCCAACTCCTCCATCAGCCTGGCTTCAAGTCCTGCTGCTGGGTTTACTGGGAAGCCAGCACATGGGGTAGTCTTCCTGTCAGCCCCTCTTCCATGCCAGCTTAGGACCTCCTTGTAACTTCTTGCCTCAGTTTCCCCAAACTCTTCAGTGGTGCCTAGGTACTTTTGCAAAATGCATCTTCTTAAAGCCTCACTCTGTTCACCTCCCACCTTAAACCTCACTCTGCTCATTTTGCTGTCGTTGTTAAGTGTCGTTGAGTCGGTTCTAACTCACAGCAGCCATGTATAGGATTTCCAAAGGGTGGCTGATTGGTTTGGACCACCAGCCTTGTGGTCAGCAGTCCAGTGCTTATCCTACAGCTCCACACCAGGTGTCTTGATTACTGTTACCTACCAAATAAAATCTAAATCCATCACCTCGTCTGCAAATCAAGATCTTGTACCATTTAGATCAGTGGTCTTCAAATACTTGTTCAGTGAGCATAAAAATCTCCAGGGAGAAGCTAATCCGAAATGTAGATTCCTGCACCCACCCACAGAAATGCCGATTCCATAGAACTGGGCTGGGGGCCCAGAATCTGCACTTTGACATGCACCCCAAGGCCTGTAATGCATGCAGGTGGTCCATGCGCTCTATTTTGAGAAATTTGAGCCTCATCCCTGCAGCTCTGGCCTGTTCACCCCTCCCTATCCCAACCCTGGCCGCACAGGCTGTGTGCTCTTCCCAAGCTCTGGGATTTTGTTCCGTCTCCCTGGAATGCCCTTCCGGTAATGCCTGGTTGCCATGAAGGCCTTCCTGGGCCTCCTCAGTGGCACACAAGGAATGCCCAAGGGATTTCCATCTGGCACTCACCACCTGATATGAGTGAGGGGTGTGCATGGGGAGGGAGGTGATTTGTGCAGCAAGGCAGACATATGTGTTGGGGGGTAATTAGGGTGGATGTTTATTTTGAATGTCTGTGAGGTGTGTACTGGGAAATGATGAGGGCTCTTGTTGCTAGGTACCATAGAGTCAGTACCGACTCAGAGTGACCTTATGCACACCAGAGTGAAACACTGCCCAGTCCTGCACCAACCTCACAACAGCTGCTACACTTGAGCCCATTGCTGCTGCCACTGTGCCAATCATCTCGTTGGGCATCTTCCTCTTTTACGCTGACCCTCCACTTTACCAAGATTGTTGTCCTTCTTCAGAGACTGGTCCCTCCTGATAATATGCCCAAAATAGTGGAGAAGAAGTCTGTCCCTCCTAGATTCTAAGGAGCATTCTGGCTGTATTTCTTCCAACACAGATTGAGGAGAGGCGTTAGAGACCAACTAAGAGGTGTTTTATTTAGACATTGGGGAGTCCTGGTGTGGCGCTGTGGGCTAATGCATCAGACTGCAAAGTCATTTGAACTGCAAGGTCAGTGGTTCAAGCTCACCAGCTGCTCCTTGGAAAGCCTATACAGGGTTGCTATGGGTCAGAATTGACTCGATGGCACTTCACAACAACAACAATGTGCATTTGGGCATGAGTAAACTGTGGGGGTCATTTGAGGAGCATGTATGCTATGGTATGATGTACGGTCTTATGGTATGATTTTGATGTGGTGAGACTTGCCTGTGTGTTTGGGATGAAATGAGGTGTGTGTTAAGGGATAATTTGAGATGGGTGTGTTTGGAGCTGGTGTAAGCATTGCATTTTGTGGTATATGAAGTGTGTGTTTGTGGTATGATGTATACATGTTTGTGGTATGGTGCAAAGTTAAGTATTTCGTGTGGTGTCAGGCGTGTGTATGTTTGTAGAATGGTGTCAGGAGTGACTGTGTGTTGTCATATGAAGTAGGTTTGTGTGTGACATGGTATGAGGTGTGGGGGAGAGGTAAAGTCTGTGTGTGTTTGTGTGTGAGTTAAGGCATTTGTGGTATGATATGCATGTTACATGATGTTCCATGTATGTGTGGTATGGTGCATACATGCCTATAGCATGAGTTATGTATGTTTGTGATGAGACATGAGGTATGTGTTAGGTGAGATCTGTGTGTGTGTGTGTGTAGTATGTGTGTGTTGTGAGCTTATGTGTATTTGCAGTGTGATTTGATGCACACATGTGTGTGGCAGGAAATGAGGTAGGTGTGTGTTTGTGTGTTGGGAGGTGAGGTCTGTGTGTGTGTGGTGAGGTGGGCATGTATTTGCAGAGAGATGTAGGACATACTGCATTGGAATGAAGGCTAACAAGCCTGGATTTCCCGGAGGTCGTGCCCTCTACTGACCAGCACCCTGGTCTCTTGGTGAGCTACACTTCCTTGGGGCAGGCCTGCCTCCCTGCACAGCCTAAGTGTGAGCACTCCTGACCCAGCGCCCCTCCTGACACACTCAAAAGTGCCTTGAACACACCGAAGGGTCTCATCACAGTGCCTGGCCACCATATTGGCATCTTCCTTCCATCAGATTGGTCCATCCAAGCTACAGCACAACAAGGCAGCAAGAGTGGTTTCATGTCCTCCATTATTTCTGGAACACCCACATTGATGTTTGATCATCCCCATCCTGAACCTAGCACAGAACAAAGAAAGTTTTGGTGGAGCCAACAACATCAACACAGTTGTCAGCTGCCTGGGGGCCTGGTTCACAGGGGGCACTGAGCGAGGGGCATGCCATATCCTGCTCTCCCTCCTCCTATACCATTACCCTCTTGCAGGGTGCCTGCCTGAGCCCCCACACACACACACACACTGGTGCCCAGGAGTGGATCTGGGCATTATTTACATCCAGAGCTCTCTAGCACCAAACAGTAGCCCACATGGCACATCTGAGAGGCTGGTACAGCTGCTTCTCTCTGTGGCTGCTTCACTGTGGAGTCTGTTCACACAGACAGGGAGGGAAGGACACGACAGGCCACCCCCAGAAGTGGTGACCCAAACTCCTTGCTCTCCATAGGTCACTCTGTCCCTGTTCTGGACCCTTCTCCAGCTGCCAGAAAATAGCTCCAACAGATGCCGAAGATGACAGGCCTAGAGTCTGCTTATACACACAGTCAGTCTCCACAAGGCCTACAAACTAAGAAACCAAACCTAATGCCATCAGGATGATTCTGACTTAGAGTAGAACTGCCCCCCAGGGTTTTCTAGGCTGTAAATCTTTACCACTGAAGTAGACTGCCCGGTCTTTCTTCTGTGGAGCAGCTGAGTGCTTTAACCACTGTGCCACCAGAACTCCTTACAAGGCCTATTGTCACCCATAATCCATGTCCACCCCTTATCTCTCATCCCCAAAACCTAAGTAAAGAGGTACAGGGGTCTCCCCTGCCCCCCCTCCGCTTCCCACAAACCCCTTTGTGATGCGCCCACCCTGCCCCTTTGTAACCTGAATTCATTTGTACAGAGTGCTGTGAGCTAGGAGTAGGAGTAATTGAATGGCTGCCCCAAGCCCATCAAGAAGTTCCTGAGCCCCGCTATGGGGACACTTGCCACCAATTCTTCTTGCCCTGAAGTTTAGGGTTTCTTGGAATGTCCTGGATCATTCAAAACTAAACTGACATTTTCAGCCCACTCAGAGGGAGCCAGTGTGGAGGGCTGCTCTTGAGAAAGGCCCTTGCTGTCTTTGGGATTGGGAGGTGGGTGTGGGATGTTCTGGGCACAACCCAGCATGTCAGAGGGAAATGAGAAGGGATAGTACTAAAGGGACAAAGTCCAAGTACCCTCTTGTTGTTGTTAGGTGCCTTGGTGTTGGCTATGATCATAGCAACCTTATACACAACAGAATGAAACACTGCCTGGTCCTGGGCCATCCTCACAACTGCTGTTACGTTTCAGCCCATTGCTGCTGCCACCATGCCAATCCATCTTGTAGGGGGTCTTCCTCTTTTTCACTGACCCTCCATTTTACCTAGTATGATGTCCTCCAGGAAATGGTCCCTCCTGATAATACATCCAAAATATGAGAGATGAAGTCTCACTATCCATGCTTCTAAGGAGCATTCTGGCTGTATTCTTCCAACACAGATTTGTTCTTCTGACAGTCCATGATAATTTCAATATTCTTCTCCAACACCGTAAGGCAAATGTATAAATTCTTCTAAGGTCTTCCTTATTCACTGTCCAACATTCACATGCATACGAGGCTATTGAAAATACCATGGCTTGAGTCAGAGGCACCTTAGTCTTCAAACTGATACCTTTGAGGTCTTCAGAGCACCAACTATGGCCGGGGAAACGATGCAAATGCGCGCCAGGTGAGCATCAGTGGGCAAATATATTCAGATGAGCGCGGGCCTGGGTGCGCAAGCGAAGACTTTTGAGCGCTATCCTCAGACAGCACCTGGTACCAGTTTGTAGATGCCCACAGGCGTCCCAAGGGGTCACCTGTTGGTTGCCTGCTGGCTGTGGCTCCGGCGCCACTTACTGGCCATACTGGGAGGTAGCAGGCGGAACCCCGGAGTCAGTGTCCAGACCTCCCCCACCCCCAATGCCCACCACAGGGGCGGGGTTTTCAGGGTCCGCTCCATAGTGGGTGGTGACCTGGTGGGGGTGTGCCTGGGACTGGATTTGGTCCATTCCTTGCTGAGCTCTGAGCCCAGGGTGCCCTCCGCGGGAGAGGGTGTAGTCGAGGGTGGATGGTGGGGAGGAGTCTGCGGGGTCTGGACCCGCCAGGGGAGGGGAAGAGGGAGTGGGCGGAGCCCAGGGCGGGGCCATCTCTGCACTCTGTCAGTCCGTCGCACGCCCCAGCTCCCCTCTCGTCCAGGGACATGCCGGGCACGCCTGGCGCCGCGGCCACCCGGGATGGCGAAGCCCCTGAGGGCTCCCCGCCCTGCAGTCCGAGCTACGATCTCACGGGCAAGGTGGGTGGCGGAGCGCCTGGGGAGCGGCTGGGGACTCAATACTGGCTCCGAGGGGCGCCCCTCCCCACGTCCTTGTCCCTGAGACCCCGGCCCTCCCAGCCCAGCCCTTTCTGGCTGCGTCCGCAGTGGACTCAGCTGGCCACAGGGCAGCCAACTGGGTATCCCAGAGTAGGAAGGGAGGGCTTAAGAGTCAGCCCCTGGGTGCACCCCAACCTCTAGGGATGGTGCTGGCTTGGAGGAGTAGAGGGAGGAAGATAGGAAGGAGTGAATGAAAGACTTCCCATCTGCAGACCTCAAGCCCTGGTGGTACAGTGACTTAAATGCTCAGTCGGTAATTGAAAGGTCAGCAGTTGGAACCCACTAGTCGGTCCAGGGGAGAAAGATGCAGCAGTTTGCTTCCCTAAGGATTACAGTCCCAGAGACAGTTTTACTAAATCCTATAGGATCGCTCTGAGTCTGAATGGACAGCAGTTTGGTTTGGTTCGGTTTGGTCTGGTTTTGACTCTTCAGCCAAGGAGTACTGGCGGTGCACAAAGTTAGAGCTCGGCTGCTGAAAGGTTGATAGTTCAAAGCGGCTTCCGCAAAGATTGTTGTTGTTGTGAATCCTCAAGTCAGTTCTCACTCATAGTGGCTGGTGGGTTTGAATAACCGACCTTGAGGTTAGCAGTCCGGTGCTTATCCTACAGCACCACACCGTAAAGATTACAGACAACATAACCCTATGAGACTGAATCAAGTAGGAAGCCTCAACATCTCTCCAAACCCCATACTTTCCAAATACAAAAAAAAAAAAAAAAACACCGTTGCAGTTCCGCTCATAGCTGCGCTATAAGACAGAGGCACCAAAGTGCGGAAAAGGGGCTTCCTGGAGACTCGTCGAGGACGCCCCCTTGCGGCGCGCAACTTGCTGTGAGCGGCCTTTTCATAGCTAAACTCCGGGGTGGGAATCTGACCTCCCTTCTCAAAGCCCTAGCCTGGTCCCCGGAGTTCTCCAGAGGCACTAGAGGTTAATGTGCTGGACTGAAAAGTCCGTTTGAATCGCAAAGTCAGCGGTTCAAGATCACCAGCCGCTCTTTGGAAACCCTATACAGAGTCGCTATGGATCGTAATGGACTAAATGGCACTTAACAACAGCAACCTGGTCCCCCAGCCATGCCCAAGTCCTACCCCTTCCCTTTCACCCCCTCCAGTCACTGGTTGTCAGAAGGAAGTAGGCCCACCTGGGAATGTTTAGAGACTTAGAGTCGGAGAAGGAGCTGAGACATTGTCACAACTCCCCTCACCTGGGATGGGGATGGTGGTGGTGCAACTGAAAGTCAGCTCTCTGGGGCCCATCCCCTCTGTAGAGATGCCCTGTGCTGGCGGAGGTGGGTGGCAGTGGACATTAGTCTGTTCCACTTCCCTCAACGTGCGTGTGGAGAAAGCTCACGCCGAGAACTTGGAGAGAGTGGCCCAGGGCTCTGCGTTCTCTTTAACGTGGGAGGGTGAGTTGGGGCTGTCTGTCCTCTTGCCTGCCCCATGACCTTGAAGGAGACCTGTCTCTTTCCGGTGGCCTGGTTTCCTCCCCATTGGGGGAGGGGGGGGAGTCACTCTCACTGAGAGCCCTGCCTCCATCCCCCGCATTTAGAAGCCACTCGGAAAGTCAGCCGCTCTAAGCCGTTGAGATAGACGTCCTGTGCAAGCTGGAGGCAGGAAATGGGCCCCTGCTGCCTGGTGGGAGGGGAGCTCTGATGGCCAGCCCCAGGTTGGAGAGACCGCCTGGCCTCCTTGCCCCACAAGCCAGCTGGGCTGTTTGCTTAGGAGGTGGTGAGCTGGGCAGCTGTTTGTGTTTGGTTGGTATAGCCTGGATCATTTGTTCAAGGCAGTTGTGATCTGTAAAGTACACAGGTGATTGTCCTCCCTCCCTCTTTCCTTCCCCATGGAACCTAGGAGCAGGGCAAATTTCAGAGTACCCCACATCTGCATCTGCACCTGCCCTTGGCCCCCTGGTCAGCAGTGTCTGTAGAAGAGTCCTTCTTCCTGAATTCCCTAGTTCCAGGCTGGTCCAGGGGACTAAGCCTAGAATGGTGTGGAAGGTTCCTGGAGGGAGCACCCAAGGCTGGATTAGAGACCATGGGGCCACAGGCTGGCAGTACCCACCTCTGAGCCATTCCTCCCAGTCTCAAGTGGTTGGGGAGTCTGGTGTGCATGTCAGTATCGTCGGCCCTGATCCATAACCTGGAATCCTGGTGTGGTGCTGTGGGTTAATGCGCTGGACTGCATGGTCCGTTTGAACCGCAAGGTTGGTGGTTCAAGCTCACCGGTAGCTCCTTTATAGGGATAAAGGGTCACTGTGGGTCGGAACCGACTTGATAGCACTTAACACCACAACAATCAATAACCCAGAGGGCAGAATGATCTCCCCACCCCTTCACTCACATAGAAACCACACCACAGAGAGGTAATCTTCCCAAAGCCTTCATATACCTTCTGCTCCAATCCCCAGCCAGTAATTCTGCATTCCATCAGGTTTTCAATGGCTGTGACCTTTTGGAATTTGATCACCAGGCCTTTCTTCTGAGATGCCTCCAAGTAGATTCAAACCACCAACCTTTTAATAAGTAACTGAGCTCTACATCATTTTTGCCACCCTGGAAACGTATATTGTCAAGGTTGTTGTTGTTGTTGTTATGTGCCATGGAGTCAGTTCCGACTCATAGCGACCCTGTACAGGGTTTCCGAGGCTGTAAATCTTTACGGGAGCAGAAAGCCTCATCATTCTCCCATGGAGCAGCTGGTAGTTTCAAACTGCTGACCTTGTGGTTCACAGACTGATTCGTAACCACTACGCTACCAGAGTTAAACCCTCAAAAATTATTTTAGTCTATGTCCACACCCCTGTTTGGCAAAGCTGAGGAAGGTCTGGACAGCAGGCTCCCCTCCACCACCCTTAAGTGTTCCCCAGAGGATGTGAGCAAAGACTGGCTAGACAAGAAAGGAGACGGATGTCCCCTACCTCCATGCCCTGTGACCTGGGACGTTTCTGCTGGGAGGACTTCAGACTAAACATCTCTCCACTTCAGTATCAATTTCAACCTTTCCTCATTCAGAACCGTAAAATGCCACTAGAAACTTCCAAAGAAATGCTCTGACCAAACAGTAGACATTTTAGAATATGTCCGTACAAACCAGTGCCTGCCCCCTCAGATGCTCCATGAGATGAGAATCCCTGTTCCCCAGCAGTTTGGCCCCGCCCACCCATGAGGCCACACTGTGGGAGGATGTGACCAGAGTCTAGTCCCAATAATTTGCTTCAGCCTCTAGCACATTTGGGAACCTGCTAGTACCAAGACCTTGATTTAGGCTGCCAGGAAATTGAATGAGGATCGGAGGGTCAGAGGTGAGTTGAGCTGAGGCATGTGGAATGGAAGGGCAGGTGAAGGCTTTGGGAAGCAGGTCCCTCTCAGAGCCATCAGCCTGCTTCCACACCCTCTCTAAAGGGACACTGCCTAGAAGGCCAGAAGCGCCAACCCCTTCCCCCCAGCCCCCATTAACTGCCTCTGCTCCTAGGTGATGCTTCTGGGAGACTCAGGCGTCGGCAAAACCTGTTTCCTGATCCAATTCAAAGACGGGGCCTTCCTGTCCGGGACCTTCCTAGCCACCGTCGGCATAGACTTCAGGGTGAGGCGGCTGCAGGCCACAGGGTCTCCTGTGGTCTCACTGTCTGGGGGCACTAGGAGTGCTCCCCCAGGGACCATGGAGGTAGCCATGTTAGAGGAGACAGCCAGGGTGGGCTTCTTTGCCCACTCATAGCATCTGAGAAATGAGAGATGAGTCTTCCTTTCCTCCACTTCTGGGGGGATGGGCTGCCCAGAGCAGGGCCCACGCATCCCAAGTGCTGAGTTGCTTGGTCCATGGAGTCCCTTTGGCAAGACCCCCAAAGGCCAACCAGCGCTTCACAGTGTTTCCCAGCTGGACCGGCAATGTGGGAGAGGGCACCTTATCATCTTGATGACTCCATCTTTAGAAATCAGCATGCCCACATGGACCAGGAGAGGGAAGATCTCAGCCTGGCACCTGGGGCTCCTCAGAAGTCTGGGCTGCCATCCCTAAGGAAGAATGCCCCTGCAGATAGATCCCAGCCTCCTCTCCTCGGAGGTCCCCTGGCTGCTAGGTTGCAGTGATTAGGCTGAGCTCTGGGAGAGGCAGACAGGCGTGGGGAGGGGCAGGGACATCAGTGTCCACTGGTGCTGCTTGCTTAGTCTTGAGGAGAGCCAAGTGGGCTCTCCCCTTGTCCTGCCATGTTGTAGGAAGACGGAATGGAGCCCCCAAAGGAGAGGGCTCTGCAGCAGAGGCTGTTCGGCCACTCTCCTAATGGGTGATCTAATGGAGGATGTCTCTGGGGCTCCTGCCCAAAGACAGAACAGGACGGGAGCTTTCTCTGTAGGGTGTCCTCAGAGCTCAATCGCCAAGTGTCCCGCCTCCCCACCCACCTCTGCCTTTGCCCTTCTGTCTTTCAGAACAAGGTTGTGACCGTGGATGGTGTGAGGGTGAAGCTGCAGGTGAGGCGGGGCTTGGGAAGGGGCGGGAGAATGGAGAGCCCCATCCTTCTTCCTCACTCTGAACCACACATGATTTGCAGCCTGGTCCTCAGCCTGGGGTAATTTCCTGTGGGGCACAGGAGAGGAAATGACTTTTGTTTGATAACTGCTGAAAAAGTAGTTCCAGATACCCTTTCTTCTACCAAAGGCGGCTCCAAATGCCTTCAGTCACGCTCAGCCTGCCCTCATCTCCTCCCCAGTTTCCCAGACCTCATCTGCTCAAGGTTGGATGCCCGCCCCAGCTCCTCAGCTGGGGCGGGGAGGAGACAACCTCAATGAGGCCCAGACACCCATGAGAACATAGAGAAGGAAACTGTCCCACCTTCCCACACAGGACTCTCATATTGTCTTTACACCCTGCCTCCCTCACCCCTTTCTCGATCCCTTCCTAGATCTGGGACACGGCAGGGCAGGAGCGCTTCCGTAGTGTTACCCATGCCTACTACCGAGATGCCCAGGGTAAGTTCTCATGTACCCCTCTTCTGTCCGCCTCGCCTGTGGTATCCATTCTTCTGCTCCAAGTAACCCCTGTGCTCTCTCTCTCCCCACCTCCAGCCCTGCTCCTGCTGTATGACATCACTAACAAATCATCCTTTGACAACATCCGGGTAGGTTCTGCCGGCCCTCAGCTCCGGACCCACCCATCCATCAGCAGCCCAGGTGGGGCCTATGTAGGACAGTGGGAGGAGGTGGAGAATCCAAAACTGTGACTCAGATAACACCTGCTGCTGGCTAGTTGATTGGCATGTGGGTGTGGAAGGCCAGCAGGCCGTTTTGCCACTGTGCCACCTACATAACCCTGTGTTTCATGTCAAGGTGTTCAGAAAGTCCCCAGCTCCACCCTGGACAATTACCCACAGAGACCAAAGAGAGAGCCCAACCACAAACATCTGCACATACATTCAGCCCAAGTGAGAAAAAGGTGACTCAGACTATGTCCTCACAACCAAACTACCAGAGAGTTGTTGTTATGAAGTACCACCGACTCGTAGCGACCCCATATAGGATTTCCGAGGAGTGGTGGTGAGTTTGAATCGCTGACCTTTTAGTTCAAACCGACCTTGCAAGTCCATTGCTTGTCCTAGCGCCACACCGGGTTTAGAGAGCAGAGACGATAATAATTCAACAAAAGCAAGCTCCTATGCTGTGCACAGCTCCGTATAGACTCCATGTGCTCTCTGACCTCAAGCAGTTGACAAGGCAACTGGAGGAACAAGACAGATAGAAATCTGTGGCAAACTCATGGCACTCTGGTTACCATTGCCAACCCCATGTTCATGGCAGACATCACTAATCACATTGGCAAATCTATGGCGCCCAGGCTGCCACCTCCAACAGCATGGTCATAGCAGACATTACTCATCAATCATAGTACTTTTGACCACTGAGCCCTTAGGTAGCCTTAGAATCCTCAACAGGGGCACTCCAGGAAAATCAACCGATTTGTGAACTATCGTTTCTGAGCTACTTCTGTCTTCCACAGAACTAAGAGTTACAATGTATCAGGTTGAGGAGGGGGGAGTCTTTGTGGGTTGGGCAATCAAGGAAGGTCATCCAAAGAAGATGAAATTGGAGCTGTGTATTGCAAATCAAAATGAGAGTGGGAGAATATTTGGGATGTGGATGAGAGAACACATAGGGTGTCATGTTCAGGGACCAGCCCAAGATCATCAAACAGGGCAGAAGAAGGAAGGAACGGGAGTGGTCCCAAGCCTCCCCTGGTTCAGCTCACCCTCTCCCACAGGCCTGGCTCACTGAGATTCACGAGTATGCACAGAGGGATGTGGTGATTATGTTGCTAGGCAACAAGGTGAGTGGCTCCAGGGTCAGCCCATCTGCCCTTTCTCTTCCTAGGCCCAAGCATCAGCTCTACCCAGTCCCACAGTCCCCTGAGTGAGTTATCCGGACATCCTTCCAGTTAAGGGCTCTTTACAGCCAGTCTCCAGTTCAGAGGTCAGACCTATCTGGAAGCTTCAACCCAATCCACATCACTCTTATTGCTTGGGAAAAGCTCACTGCCTGAGAGTCAAGGGTGTCTAGCTGCCCAGCCCCATTAGGTCACAGTGAGTAGGGCCATGGTCGGGGGGCTAAGACAATTGTCTCCTCTCTGAGACTGGGTCACCACCCCCTTTGCTAAGCAGTTACCCACCTTCCCCCTGACAGGGCTGAGATCCCAGGACTGGAAGCTAAGTTGTGGTTGTTGTTAAGTGCCGTTGAGTAGGTTGTGACGTGTAATGACACTGTATAGGGTTTCTGAGGAGCGGCTGGTGGGTTTGAACCACTGACTTTGCAGTTCAAACTGACCTTGCAGGCCAGCATATTATCTTGCCACACCACACCAGGACGCTAAATAAACCAGAAACTCTGGCCCCCAAGCCATTTCACCCATCTATCTAAGTCCCATGGGCCACCAGCAAGCAGTGCCTACTCCTGGGAGAGCTGAGGCAGGAGGGGCCACTTGGGGGCAAGGCTTCTTTCACCAGAATGACCCATCTGGGCTTCCAGGCAGATGTGAACAACGAAAGGGTGATTCGTTCGGAGGATGGGGAGACACTGGCCAGGGTAAGTGACTGTCTGTAAGGCTGAAGGGTGGGCAGAGGCAGCCAGAGGTCACTGGCTCTGAGAACTTGTTCCCCCTGGCAGGAGTACGGGGTTCCCTTCATGGAGACGAGCGCCAAGACAGGCATGAATGTGGAGCTAGCCTTTCTGGCCATTGCCAAGTGAGCCCTGAGCCTGGGAGGCACCATCCGGGAACGCATAGGGCCAGCCCTGATCCCACTGTGTTCTGCATCTGCAGTCCATTTGGTGGGAGTGGGGAGGGTACTGAGCGTCTCACTCCCAGCTGACACCACGACCTCTTCCTCTTCAAGGGAGCTGAAATATCGAGCCAGGCGGCAGGCTGATGAGCCCAGCTTCCAGCTCCGAGACTATGTGGAGTCCCAGAAGAAACGCTCCAGCTGCTGCTCCTTCATGTAACAGCCAAGAGGCTAGGCAGAGACTCCAGAGGCCCACAGAGTACAGCCATCTCCTAGGCCCAGTCTCCTCCCCAGTGACTGAGCCAGTGGGGAGGGGGTGCATCTGGGAGGGCTCTGGTTCCTACCCTAGTCACTGTAGCTTTCCTGAATCAAGGGAAGTTAAACTATTTATATTTTACTTAATGTTGCATGCTTAATAACCCAAAAAAAAGGGGCACCAGGGTTCCCAGAAAACAGAGGCAAAAATCCGGTGTCCTTCTTCAATGGCTGGGCCTTGACCACAAGAATAGCAATATTCCAGCCTAGCACCAGGGGGCACTGTTGCCCTTCTGCTGAGTCAGTAGTGACCCAGTTAAGACTTTAGCTAGAAAGAGGCTGAGTGGACCCCAGCTCTCTGATTTCTTCCAGCTCCCCCCAGTAAGATGGCACGCAGGTGCCAGAAGCCTCAGGAAGAGAAGAGATGTCGCTCTGACAAAGGGCCCAGCTCCCAGGGAGGAGGGAAGAGTAATCACAGAGACTAAGACCTCTTTGTCTACTTACTGGCCTTACTAGCCCCCTCCCTGAAGTTTGGTTTCTTCCTCCAGCATACAAGCACATGGGGACACCTGGGAACATTTGGTACTTCTTCTTTGAACTTCAGATCCCAGGGAAATTCCTCTTCCCTGAACCCCAAATCTTATCCACCTTTCTACCTGATCCCCTAACTAGACACCTACTCTCAGAGCTAGGAAACAGGTTTGCTTCTTGTCCCAAACCCTTGGCAGTAGGCAACTCCACAGGTCACTTTCCCAGCATTTGTTGTACTTCTACTAGACCAAGATCCACACAAAGACAGTCCCCTGGTTCCTGCTGCAAGTGGGGAGCGGAACTGAGTGACCCTGTGTCCCCCTAAACCCAAGCTCTACCTCTCTGTAACACCCACTCAACCCAGGTCCTTTTCTTACATTCTCAGATACCAAGTCCCCACCTGCTTTATCTCCCTCCTACCCAGTCAGGTAAATTAATGCAATATAAGGTCATGTGGGTATATATGGGGTGGAGAGGAAGGTCCGCAGGGAGTTTCTGTAGGGCCAAGGTCCTGGCCAGTGGGCAGAAGAGGTCCCTTTATCCCTTCCTGGCCCAAGGAAGTTTCAGGAAGAGAAACCTGCTGATTTCTGAAGCAACTGTGTTTGCTTTCACGGCAGAAATCTTATCCTCCCAGCAGAAACAACAGCTCCTACTTAGGCCTGATAAGGAAGTTCTCTGTGGCCTCTCTGAGCCAGAGCAGGGAGGAGCCTGACCTGGCCAGGCTCGGGGGCTCATCATCACGTGGGCTGCTCTGGGTCTCTAGCATTTTCTGTTTTTGCAAATTAAAAGTATTTTCAAAAGTACACATGTCCACTGCTTCTGTGAGATGAGCCTGGAAGTGGGAGGGGACACATTGAAAGATTCTTATTGCAGTTTGGAAGAACTCACCAACCAACCAACCAACCAACCAGCCAACCAGCCAACCAACCAACCAACCAACCAGCCAACCAGCCAACCAACCAACCAACCAACCAACCAACCAACCAACCAGCCAGCCAACCAGCCAACCAGCCAACCAGCCA